TACTCGACCACCATTATGGTTACCGCCAAAAAAAAAAACGGAGGTAACAAAATAAACGGTAACCTGGTTGCCGAATTCACGAAGTGAGTTGGCTCGTTTTACAACGTCGTTGCCAAGCGACGAAAACCCAACCCCGATGGCAAACACCGGGGGGGGCGGCTTGTTTTACAACGTCGTTGCCAAGCGACGAAAACCCAACCCCGATGGCAAACACCGGGGGGGGCGGCTTGTTTTACAACGTCGTTGCCAAGCGACGAAAACCCAACCCCGATGGCAAACACCGGGGGGGGCGGCTTGTTTTACAACGTCGTTGCCAAGCGACGAAAACCCAACCCCGATGGCAAACACCGGGGGGGGCGGCTTGTTTTACAACGTCGTTGCCAAGCGACGAAAACCCAACCCCGATGGCAAACACCGGGGGGGGCGGCTTGTTTTACAACGTCGTTGCCAAGCGACGAAAACCCAACCCCGATGGCAAACACCGGGGGGGGCGGCTTGTTTTACAACGTCGTTGCCAAGCGACGAAAACCCAACCCCGATGGCAAACACCGGGGGGGGCGGCTTGTTTTACAACGTCGTTGCCAAGCGACGAAAACCCAACCCCGATGGCAAACACCGGGGGGGGCGGCTTGTTTTACAACGTCGTTGCCAAGCGACGAAAACCCAACCCCGATGGCAAACACCGGGGGGGGCGGCTTGTTTTACAACGTCGTTGCCAAGCGACGAAAACCCAACCCTGATGGCAAACACCGGGGGGGTTTGACGGGGGGGGTCTGCTTTTTCCTCCTCTCTCTACATGCATTTCCTTGGGAGGAGGGCGGAATGCCTGATACACCAAGCAGGAATGAAAATTGCAGTGAATTCGGCAGCACTTCGGGCCGAGAGGGTTACAGCTTCAACGTGTTTCGTTTCCCGGTCAATTTCACTCCGCACTCCACTCTTTATTGTTGTGCCCCGTTTCTATATGCAGCAGACAAACAGCAGTCAGCTGCAGAATTCTCTGTCAATAATGTATGGAAACGAGGGCATGCCTGCCGGCCGGAAAGTGCGCTACTTCATCACATGTACCCTACGGAGAACAGCAGTTCAGCGTGGGGGGCAATGAAGTAAGACAGCACATCCAAAGGGCAGGTATAAGATACTCTGCTGCTGATGCGGCAACAGAGAAGATGCACTGAAAATGACCGGTGGAGCTTGGGAGGAGCAGAGATGCATCCAACGCATCAGCGCATAAATCCTCTGTATTGAAATGTAGACATTTTTTACTTGACTGCTGTGAGGACATGGGAAGGGCGCAGGGTAAACTAGAGACCAAAACACAGAATGTTTTTCGCGTTTGCCCAACTCTCCGGCTTGGGCGTTCTAGGAAACGTAACTACAAACACAGAAAGACTATTCGAGATACTAGGTTACCCGAAAGGCCCCCCCTGATCGATAATTCGGGTGGCACAGTTGTGTGTGATGGGAGTGTAGAGCAGCTCGGCCATGACGGGCCGTAGGGGTAGGTAAAGTCGTACAGACGTGTGGAAAAACGTGTTGTAAACATGTTGTATTCATCGGGGGCGTGCTTGAGCTCGTCATTCCACCACGGCATCAAGTCACGCATAACGCTTAACACCCAAAACGAATCTCCATGAATGTCCACCAATCTACCACACTCCCAAGGAAAACATAAAGAAACTTCTTCTTCCTCCGTAGTTCGTCACTGCAAATCCCGCATATGTATACGCAATATACCACCCCCATGCTATGCTTCGAGTATATCGAATACCCCCGTCCCCAATGAATTGAGGAGATGTCACGGTAGGTACGAAGGACGTGAATGATCGTTTGCGAAGGGAAAGGAAACATGCCGATACAGATATTGCGGATGATGAAGGTATGCATGTGAGGAGAATACGGATAAGCTGCGCACGTGGCAAGGTCGGTACAGCCCGAAGATGGCACAGAGAATCTGTTGAGAAAGACGTGGCTCTAATTTTTGCTAAATTCCAGCTTGACCGGCGGGTAGGAGCATGGTGTGCGAGCATTGAATGGCAGGAAGAGGGATGAAGAACGTGAAAGAAGTAGTTGGTATGATTATGTGCAGAAGGCGCACGTGAAGCGCAAGTGAGTTCTCTGTTGCACAGTCCGGGACCACTCCCATTGCACACGCACGTATATTGGTACATACGCAACTTGCAGATCGAAAACGGAGATCAGATCCATACGTGACGGGGTGAGCCCGCGCTGATATGAAATGACGTCCAATGTTGCATAGAACGAAATTCAATGGAACATTCCAGCCAAACAAGCACGGCAGTCTGCCGTTGAAGGTATATAATCTAAAAGTTAGCATGCCAATACGCCAGAAGCAGATTTGAATATATACTGTAAAGACCTATGAAACGTATATGAGGATGGCGCAAGAATGAAGACGATGAGCCCTAGAGAATCACGTGAATATACGAGATAAAAATTCCGAATTAACATGAAAGCATGGGATAGTCAGCCAGCGCGAACCGAGCATTCCGAAAGCGCGAAGAATCCAACCTATACTCAGGAAGGCGTACCGAAAGCTTAATCGTAGACAGTGTCCAAGGACGAAGGCGAAGAATTCGCGCGTCTGTTGCCGAAGAGACGATAGAAAATATATAACATGAACGTGGAATACTCGATAAGCACGAGCCGAGCATTCCGAGAGCACAGAGTCCAACGTATACTGAGGAAGGCATTCCGAAAGGCTAATCGAAGACAGTGTCGTAGGGCGGATTGGCGTGGCTGTTGCCGAAGAGACGATGGAAAATATGAAACGTCGAGAACATGGAATACTCGGTGAGCACGAACCGAGCATTCCGAAAGCGCGAAGGGTCCAACCAATGCTCAAGATGGCATACCGAAAGGATAGTCGCAAAGACAGTTTCCAAGGACGAAGGCGAAGCTGCACGCGGCTGTTGCTGGCGCGACGATAGAAAATAGGAAATATCAAAATGCAACCCCCCCCCGTTCCTGTCACACCTAGAAGAAATGAAGAAGGGTGGAGGCAGGTGACGCGCTCCACGGAGGAAACGGAAAGAACAGGAAAGCAGCCAGGCAACGAAGATATGCACGCGCAATGTAGAGGCCAAAACATGAAAAAACCTACTTCAGTATACCAATGGGAAGCAGACGTTGAGGACGGAATCGAAAAAGGGAGAGGGAGGTGGATACTTGTACAGGTAGCAGCGATCTAAAAACAACGTTGTCCACCGTGCCGTACCCATCACGAATAATTATGTCGTGGGTATATCGTCCATTTTTTTATGTCATCTGACCTACTGTACGAACTCGGGCAAGACCGGCTTACAAATATCCGTGCGCGAAAGCATCCAGCGTGAGGTCCAAGCAAGTACGGTCAAATGTTTGTACCTGGGCACGGTGGATGGTAACGCTAAAACACAAGCGCACGGGGAATCGGACCCTCTTTGCGGCTACTCCTTGCCACGTGACGAAACTGAAGTCAAAACGTGGAAGCCGGCGCATGGTTCCGCGGTCGTCCAAGGTTTGACCCTGTAGAAGATGTGGCCAATGTCCAACACAACGGCCTTCGCACCATTGGTCAGATTGTGCTGTGTGTCGGCAATTGCTGTACAACTGCTATACAGCACTGCTGCTGCTTTGACCAGACACTTAGCGCCCGCAATTAAGAAACACTTATTTCAGTTCCAGCATCGAATTCTTATTGTGGGCATAAACTCAGCGTATGTATGTCGTTCAATATCTTATGTCAAGTTTCTTATTTTCGTGCCGCCAAATCCTGCTGAATTTCTTCAATCGGCAATTTCTTATTTTCTCTGCACACCAGAGCTAGCGGAGAGCACCATCAAAACCGTACAGCAGACAGCATATCGTCGTTCGCAGCCTGTCTGGCGTGCTGTGCCAGAGCCCGAGCGCCAGAGAGCGCCAGAGCCGGCAGAGGGGAGCAAGAAAATCACACTCCCCCCTCGTCGTATAACTAATAACGCACTTGGGAGGGGGGGGGTAGTGGGAGAGGGGGGAAAGAGCGAAAGATAAAAGGAGCTGTGGGGTGTTTCTTATTCGACACACTCTCCCCGTAATCTCTCGTTATGTAGTAGGGCAGCGGTCTCCGCTGTTTCTTATTGAGACATTTCTTATTGTGTGACCCAGCGTGAGCCATGTTTCTTAACCCTATCTTCTTATTTTTCGTGGAAAAATGAGCCTTTATTAAAAATACTAGCGGGCGCTACTGCATGCATTTGTAGACTATGCCCTGACCGCATATACTGCTGACAGACCTCCTCCAGTGTAAATACCCTGGACTGCCATTCTCTCCGACGGGTTATGCGGTGAAGGCGCTCCTGGAATCATGGCATGTCATCTATACATGATGGGCACGGTACTCACATATCCGCCAAAGACTCTACCCAATAGCCTATATCCTGGATGCATGTAGACAATGTATGCATGCCATCTTTGCAACAAAATATCGCACACC